AGTCAAGGCATTTCTAGCACATTTGTTTTATGGTTAATTTGCGAGGATGCTTCTAATCGCACCGACGGGCGATGGTCCAATTTGTTTGTATATATATATATATAGACATCACCAAATTTATTATCATAGAAATACATTTTTTGTTGTTTAAAGTCAATTCTGCGGAGTTAAAAAAAAAGTCAATTGCTTTCTTTTTTTTTTTTGTCGTCAAGTCAATTGCTTTCTAAAACTTCGAATCACGTTTCCACTTCGTCCATCAATCATTTTTACTTCATGATTTATTTATTTATCTAAAAATATAATATATTAAAAATCTGAACTTAAACGAAGTAATATTACTCTCTCCGTTTCACAAAGAGTGTCGTTCTGACATTCTTCACACAAATTAAGAAATAAGATAAAATGTATCTTATATATCCTTATTAATTTATAGAAAATGACTCTTGGAATCATATTTATAATTAATTTTCTGAATTTATTGAGGTTAAAAATGGTATTTTATGTTAAAAATTACATTGAAATTTTAAAACGATATTATTTTTGAAAAAAAAAAGTGTCAGAACGACACTCTTTATGAAACGGACGAAGTATTATTTAAGATGAACCACAACAAAAATGACTGCCCAACGGCTGAGGTTGACTGTTAGAACTTCGACGGTCAATAGTGGTTTTTAGACTTTTAGTAAGCATCTTACATTAGCATTATTAGCATTACCATTAGATGACTAGTCTAACACTATGTAATTATTAATAATAAATAAAAACGTATTTATTCAAACTTTGCATTTTCTAGTTATTAAAAAATTTGTATCCAAACATATCTTGGTTTGGATTTTATTTTGAAAGCATTGCAATTTTAGTTATTTATTTAAATTTCTGTTACATGATAATGAATCAAACCAAGTGTGTTACTTTAGTTGGAATAATAAACCTAAAGATCACATAATCAAATGCACTTTTTTACAAGACTATTTTAATATGCTATGGCAGTCCTGAAAAACACAAAGACCTTGCCAGAAAATTTTATTATCATATATATACCAAGATAACAATTCTATGTCTTCGCCAACGTTGATACTATTTCTAAGTATTAGGTAGTACGTATATACGTTTTTACGTGACATAACAAATTGTTTTCTAAACTTAAATTAAATGTTGATTTGAATTTAAATATTTAGAGCAATATAACTTTCTTTTTCCTGTCTGTTCTGTTGAATTGATATGCACAGACCTAGATCTATCACCGCTAAACCGCAACAAATTATTGGAGCCATATAATTGTAGAGATCTCGATCGTCTTTGTTAATTTTCAATTTCGTATTTGCCACTCTTTAACAAACAACTAACATTTCCAGTGGCTTTTGATTTCTTTGACTGTCAAACAAGTATGTATGATTATATCTCTATATTATCATGGTAACTTAAACAATAAATTGTGTGCAGAAGTACAATAATGAATAAAAAATACAAATAAAATAAAATAAATAATTGGAGAAAATAAAATAATAGCACTACATAGATTGCATGCAGCCAAGAGAAAGTAACATGCAGTGCCATGCAAGTAAACATAATGTCAAAGGACCAAATACCACATGGGCTTCTTACACTCTTTGCTTCTTTCACTCACATTTATCACTATTCCTTTCATCTTTCATCATTTCAGTAGTTCTGAATTTGCAATTTTAGTTTCCTCTCATTTTTATATCTGATAGTTACATGTAGATTCGACTAAATTGAATATACATTAACTATGATTTTCTAAATATCAGTAGTAAACATACGTAATACCAAATAATGATATTTGGCTCTGGCAGAGTAAACTGAATTAAAAAAAAAAAAGACTGTGAGCAACAGATTCGCAAGTTGCGAATCGCAACTACAATTTACTGGTCACCATGTGCAATATTTTTTGAGAAAGGGTATAATCACCTACATTACTTAGGGGCTAACAGATTTTTAAATTAATGGTAAAACGAAGGTCGCATATAAGCCATCGTAAGTTAGTAAGACTAAGAAAAATTTATAAAAAAAGGTAAGTAAGACTGAGTTTTGCAACAAAAAAATAATAGTAAGAGATAAAAAAAAAAAAATCCAGAAAGAAACGTAAAAGCGAAATAAAATAAAAAACGAGGTTTGAACTCCAAATGATATAATATTGTAAATTAATTTTGGTTAGCAATAATGCTTACTTTTACTTTATTTTTTTATATTCCAATCTTTTTTTCATCAACTAGAATCCGTGTATCTCTTAGCCAAATTTTTTTTTAAAAATATTCTCACTAATTTTAAGGATTTAAAATTTAAAGAGATTACAATCTCTCGAAAAAGCTTAGAAATGTATCTCTTTATAAATGTTCTCACTCATAAATATGTGATCGACCTTGCTGTAACTCTACCCCAGGAACAAAACATTTACAAATAGATTATTCATTCTCAAAAGAAAAAGTCTGTATAAATATATTTAGTCTTTAAAAAGGAAAAAAATGGGTACATGCAGTCTTACTTTAGCTATAATAAATATGATACAAAAAAAAAAATTCAAACATTCAATCAAGTTTAATTCAGGAAATAATAAAAAACAACAACCGGTGGGATCCAGTGTCCACATATTCTTCATATAGAATTGATATCCTATCTACTTTGGCACTGAAACTCTCTCCCTCTCTGTTTTACCTCAACCTTTGATTGTCGGCATGTATATATATATTCTCTGGACATATTACATTACGTATCTGGCGATTTTTTTGTATGATTTTTTTAGTCTTCATCCCCTTTTAAAAGCTGTGAGGGGGGGTAGTTGACATCTCTTAATGGTCTATACTTTAATTAGCATGAAGCTCAATCATCATATATAATGCAATTTCTTATATATAATGGATGTAAACAATTTCTTTTAAACAAATATATATATATATAACCATTAGTCTTGTATGTTGGGTATAAGTAAGACATTAAAATAGTCACTAAGGGTTGTGAATTGTGATGCAAAATATTTCAGATCTGCACTAGAAGAAGACACGTGAATTTCCGACCAAGCAATATTTCTAATGACTTTTCGAGAATTTTTTTTTTTGATCGGCTGCTTAGCGTTCATACTGAAATCGAACATTCAACCGATCAGAAGCTAAAATCACCATTAAAAAAAGGAAGTTCAATACATATTGTTCTATGATTTAATTTGTGTGATTGCATTACATAATACTTCGAGAAGCTATCATTGGATATGGTTAAGGTCTATGAACCACCTAGTTGATGTGTACAATTTTGCTCCAATTTGGCGAAGGAGACACCACACCTTAATTAGTCTTCAAGACCAAGTCTTCATCACTCTATTTATCACCTACTTCCATGTTTCAATACTAATTTTGATTTTATATTTTATATATGTAATGGGAAAGTTCCCAGGTCAAGATTTTTTTATATATATTTTAAGTTTTAGGTGGATTATCATATATTAATCATATTTGCGGCTTTTGACAAAATTATAGCCATCTTTGACATTCTATTAATTATTTGTTCTTACGTTTCTTAAAACGTTTTCTAAGATATTGTCATTCACTAGATTTTGCATAAATATACATAGCTGACCAGACCAATTAAGGTTGCCTGAAACAAGACTAAGACGATGCTGGTCATAACTCATAATATGATACTATTTGGTCATAATTTTCGTAGGAACAAAAAAAATTTGTGGCTAAGAATTAAGATAATCGTACTTAGTGATGGATGATTACGGAAAACATCCTCTGCATAATTAACAGACCTTACTATTTCGCGAGCATATCAAATGGTGGCTAATCGGTGACACGATTTTTGTTTCTTCTGTTACATATCAAATAAATTATTCGTAGTAAAGTGACGAAATAGCCATTTTTTTAATTGTTAGAAATCATGGTATTTTCAAAAACGAAAAGACAAAATATGGCATTTTAGAGAATTTCTCTGTAACTAATATTTAAATGTAACATACAAGTTAATCGACGAATATGTTAATTCGAGATAATCTGAACCGATAGACAAAGCTCAACAGCAAGCAACATGGCACGTGGGAAGCTAAACTTGCTATCAAAGTTATTCCGCTAACATTTTGCAACTGACCAGTTTTGTTTGTTAAAATTTAAACGAGTATCCTTACCCAGTGTCCAGTGATAAAGGGAAAAAAAGGATATTCTCATTTAGTTTTTTTTTTTTTTTTTTACTGTTATATGTTCTCTTTTTTTCTTAGAGGAAATTTTTTATCTGTTCATAATATTACACTCGCTACCATTTCTAAGAATATTAAGTCCATTCCAACAAGTAATGAATAATATGTACTTTTATGGTCGGTACTACATATATTTTCGACTTCTGCATAAAACCTTGTATTGATTCCTGCTTATTATGTTGGTATAAAAATGAAAATCCGTAAAACGTTTTTACTGTTATGCTCGGCCTGGTTTTCACAAACTATTTTAGTAAATGAAAGGTAAAACTACCTCTGCGGTTTCCCCCACATGAATTCGCCGATGCCTACATTATAAGCTGTTATTGTGGCTATTGAGTCGGGTCTGTGCAAAAGATGTTACAAAAATATTATGTAAAATAACATTTACGTAAGTGGGAAAGAAAATATGCGAGTTTAATAGCATTTTTAATTCTATTACTTTTGTCAATCCATTCTCTAATCATATTCTATTATTCTATGGATATGATTACTTAATCCAATTTATTAGTCCATTCTCTTACTCATTATTTCATTTCCGAAAAAAGATATAGAATATGTTTGGAATTAAACCCAACTCTATATTTTTTTTTTGTAGGAGTAGTTTACTCCATTGGCAGATCGAAGCGTCTCAGTTTGATTCCGTGGTCTCATAAATTATTATGCGTTCAAAGCGGTTATGCAAACTGGGCCATTGTTGGGGATTATTGGGCTCAAAAATAACTTACAAATATGGGCTTAAGGCCTCAAAAACATACGGCGACTTCATAGAAAGGAAAGCTAACGACGGCGCCGTCGCTGGGTGGCGGAGGCTTGATGGAGCTTGGAGTGATTGTCTATAGATTATACAGGGCGTTAACCTATAGTGTCTCGCCGTTGCTTCACCTCCATATGCGATGGCGCAGGCTCCGGGGACTAGAACATATCAGCCGTTGGCCCGAGCGGTTCGGTTGTCCCTCCGCCGTACGCCCGCCGGGATCGCTCGTCTGGTTTCACGCCGTCTCTTTAGGTTAAAACTCTCCACGAAACAAACCAGTTTGAATTCTCATTGCGATTAGTCTCCAGATAAACAATGGCTTGAGGAATTTAGGATTTTCTTTGTGGGGTTGGTGTCTATCAGGTGAAGGAATGGCTGCCATTCCCGTGATCAGACGCTGCAATGATATGAAGCCAGATTTGACTATTCTGATGACGACGACGACAGTATCTGCATTGTATGGCTCAACTATTTCTTTCACACACCAGTTCAATGTGTAGGAAGCTAAATTGAAAATTGGGATGAATTTGTTCATTGTAACTTTTCGTTGCAGTGAGGTGATAAAGAATCAACTCCCCACTGGTGTTTTACATCAGGTATGTTTGATTGTATTGTTGTTGGATATCTCTGAACTCTTGTTTATGAGCTAAAGTTTTCAAAATTTGCCAGTTTGCACCGCTCGATACACCCGTGGCTATTGACAGATTCCTTGGATATTGGAAACCAAATGCCATCATCATAATGGAAAACGAACTTTGGCCTAATCTCATCATGTCTGCTGCACAACTTCTAGTAATTCTTGAATCCTTCTCATTGTTTATCTGGATGTATCATTTGTGCAATACACTCAATTTAAATGGTTGCTTATGGAGGTACATTGATGCATTACAGGAGCTATTTTAAGCTCATGTGCTTCTGCGGAAACATAACTTTGGTTTCTCCTCATAAGACGGCATGCATATGTATAGCACCTGACTCTTTGCATGGTTAACATTGTGTTTCTGCTAATCCAATTTTTCAGATTCCGTTGGCATTGTTGAATGCTCGTATGTCTGCAAAATCGTTTAACCGGTGGTCTAGTCCTCTATTCCTACCGCTGGCATCTTTGTTGCTATCCAAATTCTCATTGATTGCCCCATTGGTATGTATGCTAACTTTTGGAAATCAAATTTTATGTTATCTTAGTTTATATTAATTTTTTTTCTTTTGTCTCAAATGTGACAGAGCACCCTGCAGGGTATACATTTTCAGCTGCTGCAGGCACCACCCTTTGTCATTAATTTTGCGGGAGACTTGAAATACGGTATTTGAAAAGACTCCTTTCATTGAGATTTAAAGAGCTCTTGATGTTTGAAGTTCTGTGCTACCCATTCTGTTCCGCTACTTAGTTTCATTTTGTTTCTTCATTTGCGGAATTGCTCACACTCTTTTTGTTAAGGCGATATTAAGATCCATGTATTGTCTGCTTTTCTTCCAGTGGAAAACAAGCTCCATGTATCTAGTGGAACATCCGAAAGTATAAGAGATCTAATAGTAGAACTCTCAGAAATGAAGGTCTGGATTGCATCTTCATTACATAGAGGCGAAGAAGAAGGTACGAATCCTCTTCGACTGCTTCCATGATTTGATTGGTACTGTATCATAATTCCATATATACGGTCTTGATTCTGTTTCCTTTCATACACACTCTCAAGCACTTTTAAGGAAGTAAGGGTTTGGAGCTGATAGATTTTTTTTTTCGTTTATGCATCTTTCTTGAAATTGATGATCAAATTCGTATGCAGTCATTTTAGGAGTTCACAGTTTGCTTCTTCAATCACATCCTGACTCTGTTGTGATCATTGTGCCTCGACATCCACATCATGGCCAACAAATTGCTCAAGTATGTTCCACAACCACCTTCTGCTTATTTTGATTATTGGCCTGTCTTAGGTTAACTAGTATTGGCAAAATTCATTTCAATCTCTCCAGCTACTTTTTGTAGAAATTGCGGAAAGATGGCCAAAAGGTTGCTCTAAGGTCTCAAAATGAAAAGCTTACATCAAGGAAAACAAATATATATGTGGTAGATACACTAGGTTGGTTTCTTTACTTTTGATTCATTTTCCTAGTGCTGGTCCCTCTATGGCTTTCTTCAACAACATGATCTCTTTCTGCTTGTTATCTTCAGGTGAACTAAGAGAATTCTACAGAGTAGCTCCAATAGCCGTCATTGGAGGTTCTTTCTTCCCGGAGTTAACTGGTCACAACTTGTCTGAAGCAGCTGCCGCTGGCTGCGCCGTTATTACAGGTCCTGAGTTATAAGAAAATATAAGATTCTCGTATAGTGTAATTCACCATCTCTCTCGTTGATCTTAATATGTAATCTTCTATTAGGTTGTCATGTTGGGCATTTCTCTCATATGGTGAAGGCAATGCAACAGGCGAATCCCTTATCGATTACACAGGTCTCGACTAAACTAGAGCTCAAAGAAGCTATCGACTTGCTCCTGAGTAACCCTGAGATTCTGGAAGCACGTCAGAGAGCTTCTAAAGAAGTATATGAATCTCTATCAAGCTGCATTATCTCTAACACTTGGAATCTTCTCAATCTCCATATCTTTAGAGGGAAATGATTTGTTAGTGTGGCTTATTGAGAACCGATAGCATGTAAACATGTATATATTTTTAGAATGTATCTTCTTTCTTTTCTTTTTGTAGAAACATCTTTCTTATTGGTTTGAATATTTTTGTACTTTCAGGACTTTTTTTCAAAACTTTCCACATTTAATAAGCAAAACGCGTGTTTAAAAGCTACGATGTGTGGGAAATATGTACTGTCAAACATGTAGATAAAAGTTTAGTTTCTTAAAATAGCATTCAAAGCGCCCGTGGCCTAATGGATAAGGCGTTTGACTTCTAATCAAACGATTGTGGGTTCGAGTCCCACCGGGCGTGTGATAATATCTTAGATTTTATACTCTCTATATTTTTTTGGAATTCTGCTGTTTTCTTCATAACTGCCAATTTATCAGTCTTCGACTCTTCGTGTCCTGTGATTTTTGAAGTTTCGTATTTGCAATTTAAGTACGTATTCCATAAGTTATTTTTTTTCTTACAAGTCAACCAATATTAATATATATCAAAAACTATAATCAGTTATCCATCAAATACCTCAACATATTAAATCCTTAACTAGATTCATCAGTACAATATAGATGATACATCAAAAAATTTCATCACTTATTTATCAAAAAAAGAAAGAAAAAAAAATCCATCACTTATATATTAAAGGAAAAGTTTTTTTTTTTGATTAAATTTAAAATATTTGCGACTGTGTAAATAAATTTGCAATGTATAAGTGGGTTAGTCTTATGGAACTTGTTTTCCCTTTTTGTTAGTTGTTACTATATATGTCTGGTAAAATTTCTACCCACACAATTAAGTTGTGTTACATTGTACTTTATGTAGCTCTTTTATATATTTAATAAATGGTCTTAATTAGTGTCTGACTTTAACGGCGGGATTTAATTTTTACGTAGAACGAATTGAATCGAATAGTAAAGGGGAATACTGTACCAACTTCTTCACGATAATTCACCCTTTGTTCATGAATACTATACCTTTTTAGTTAATATTGTTATTTATTGACGGTGTAAAAAATATTACTATATATCAATGTGAATTGTTAGGTAGTAACTAGTTTAATCCAACCAAACCAAAGAAAAAAAAAACAAATGTCTAAACCCTTTTAAAAAAAGAAGTAGATATGTATTAAATATAATTACTTAATCGTTCACATCAAAATATTTAATATTTTAAAACTAAATTAGTGTACATACTAAAAAGCCAAAATCAACCCGAACTAAATTTGATGTGCCAAAAAAAATCTAAACTAAAATACGGTGCCAATTGCTATCTGTACTATATAAAAATTCAAATTTATGATCTGAACTTTAATATATGGGTCAAAATCTATTTTGACCTTAGTCAACTGTTAAAAAATGTTGGCGAGGCTTAACGGAGTATAATCAAAAAAATTGTTGTTCCTTGGATTCGAACCTGAGAAGCAGAGCACCATAGACAACCACGTGAACCAACTGAACTATGAGAGATTTTTGTTATTTAGTACACGTATATCTATATATATAGATGTATTTCTCTTTTGTCGATGGCAAAAATATATATAAAAGCCGTCACCAACTTGGATAACATGATTTTTTTTAATTTCTATCCTTTAATTATTTTCAAAATTAATATGTGTGTATCTTAAGACTATTTATTATATGTTCAATATAAAAGTATATATTTTAAATAAGAAATTAGTTTGTTAAAAATAATATTAAAATATAATAAATGTGTAACATTTATATTGTAAATGATGACATGTGTAATTAGTAGCAACTTAATATCTATTAAAATATAGACATATCATAACTATATTCGACATTCACTCTCTGGTTTATTTTTTTTCTCTAAAATCACACTAACAATATATTTTCCTTTCTGAAAATCAATATTTGAAGGTGACGGTAAAAATCTGTTTTTCCTCTAAAATCAATTTTTTTTTCGTTTATAAACAAAAACAACATTGTCATTAAATAAATAAAAACAAGTTATCCGAGTTGGTGAAGGCTTTTATATATATATTCCATCGACAAAAGAGAAAATATCTGTATATATAGATATGTGTATACTAAATAACAAAAATCTCTCATGGCTCAGTTGGTTCACATGCTTGTCTATGGTGCTTTGCTTCTCAGGTTCGAATTTAGGGAACAACAATTTTTTTGATTTTTCATCCAACCAAAACGGTGTCGTTTTTAGTAAGCTGACGTGTCTCTTGCCATGTCATACTCCGTCATGTCTCGTTAGCATTTTTTAACAGTTGACTAAGGTCAAGATAGATTTTGACCTATATATTAAAGTTCAGATCGTAAATTTGAATTTTTATATAGTATAGATAGCAATTGACACCGTATTTTAGTTTAGATTTTTTTTGGCACATCAAATTTAGTTCGGGTTGATTTTGGCCCTTTTCTCAGCTACCGTACTTAGAAACTCCATATTCAAGGAGGAGACGTTTTCAAAATTAGGGATTTACGATCAAGTTCGAAAAAAAAACTAATTATAATTTGTGTTTTTTTTTAGTCCTTATTCAAAGACTATTTGAATCAAGCATCCAGAGTTTTGGTAAACCAAATGAAAAACTACTATCGAATCTTAGCCTATCTACAATTGTTCAGTTTGTAATCTAAAATTCGTAACGGTGAAACAAATTATATGCATGTAGTAAGAACCAAGTCATTATCAACGTGAAAAACCATGTATATTTGATATATTTGACAATTGGCATATCTTCTATATTGCCATATCTTTAAAATTTTAAATTAGACATAGTATATTTCAATGACAATTTATGATTTATTGAAACATTTATCCAATCTTAATTTATATTCTCTTTGAGAAATTTATTGTACGTATAAATCGGCCATTTAAATTTTCTTATTTGAATGTACTAACTAAGAGTTTTTGTATTTAAGCAATTTAAGATCGAGCATTAAAATATGGATTTAATTTCTTAACAACTTTTAAATAATATAGTTACTTTTCTCGTTTTCTTCCTTTAACATATGTTGTTTAGTTTTAGTTGTTTCAAAAATATTTAGTTAAAATTTAATTGTATAATTTCAGGATATTTTTATCAATATATATATATATATATATATTATTCGTTCTATAAGATCTTACCTTAAATAAAACATCCATTTAGTACTTTTTTGAAAAGATGATAATGTGACAAGTAAAGTTTAGCTAATGGATCGAAGAAGGGCGGGGACCTTTTTCTTGATTACCGATCTTAGTAACTAATGGATCAAAGATAAATGTGTAATGGTCTACGTAGTAATAAACAAGAAGGTTGTGTGGGGTGTTACACCACTTCATCCAGGTTCGATCCTCTCTGGAAACAAAAAACACAATTATGTGGGAAGTTTGGGTTTGGTCCAAGCAGTTTATATGGTAGTTCAGTAACAGGCGATCTGGCTACCCCTGGCATTAGTCGGAAGGCATTTCAAACTCGGGATAGGTAGTGTGATTGCCCATTTGGATCTCATGGATCTCATTGCCCGTTGATTCGAGTTCGCTCCGTTGAACCGTTGAACCAGGGAGAAGTTCACACTATAGCACTTCGATGCGTTCTTACCGGGGCCGACCGGATCAGCCGATAGGATTTATAAAAAAGTAATAAACAAGAACGACGGAATTTGGTGTTCTTTGTACGGGTTGGATTCTCCTCAATATCTGAGTTTGTAGTTCTGTCTCTCTCTCTTTTTCTTCTTCTTCCTAATGCATGCATAAGACTCTGTTAAAAGTTTTTGTGCGGATATTATTTAATTTACTTGACCGATTAACATATCAAAATAGTTTTTTTTTCTTTTTCTTTTTGTTCTTCAAACGCTCTAATTCTTTATGTAAAATCGTTTATCATGAACCCAGTTGACTACCTGCTGGTTCTTAGCATCATTTATTATATATGCAAAAATTTACGAACCACTAGTCTATTATTATTTTTTTTGTTAACAGAGCAACTAGTCAATTCAAATTAAAAATATATGTGGAATAAAGATTCCATATTACATATTTTTATAGTTAAATATATAATTCACAAAAATTGGAAGGAGTGGCGATAATTTCATAAAATCGAGGAGTAATAAAGATGACAAGGACAGGAAAACTTTGTAGCTTCTTGCTCAATCATAAGTAAAAATGTATTAAAAAAAAAATCGATCTTGATTTTAGTTTGTTTTTGAATAAAAATCGATTTTATTCATCCTAATCATACATACTACTAAAACACACCATATAAGAGAATAAACACGAAAACGTATTATTTGGATTATGAAAACACATGCTATTTTGGTCTCTTTCTCTTCTTCTTCTTTTTGTTAAAGATTTTTGGTCTATATCGAAGACTATGAAGGGTCTTTAGCGAAATAGTGGAATTTTATCAAGAAAAAATGAGAGTATGATAAGTTGTTATCAAATGAATCCTTTACAATGAATGCAATCATCGAAATCCATTAAAATTTCTCAAAAAGATAAAATAAAATTAAATACTATGAAAATTGTGATGTCTCATCTCTTTCACGAGTTTACGCTCGAAAGCTTCCCTTTTTTCTTATATACTGTCGTTAGTTTTAAATCTCATTACTTATCATCAATCTGTTCAAACCCTATCTACTTTTAACATACAAAAAGATTCCTTTCCTCTCCTTCTCTAGCTCAGTTTCTCTCTTACACTGTTACACATCAACAATTTGTTGAGTAGCAATTGAATATGAGAGAGAGAGAGAGAGAGAGTGAGAGAAAGAGAGAGAGAGAGAGAGAGAGAGAGAGAGAGAGAGAGAGAGAGATTGTGTGTAGAACTGCAAGTTAATAAAAGAATGTGGGGGTAAAGAGAGAAAGAAGAGTACACAGTAGATGAGGACAATGAGACTTAGTTTTCAAACTTGTTCTTTGTTTTGGCTTTTATTGGTCATATCACACTCTTTATATATAGATGATCTACTTAGCTCTCTGTGTTGATTCTTAGCTTTCAAAGGTAGCTTTTGGCCTCACCCTACTCTATACAGGTTACTGCACATACACATTCTTATGGACTTGCCACTAGTGACAAAACTGTTTTGCATATTTATTTACACACATATATATATATATTAATAGATTTTGATGGTGTGTATATAAGACAAAACAATAACTGAAAATCTTAGGACCAAGAATGGAGGGGAACCACATTGTCAGTTTTATGGAGTTTTGGGGGACCATTAATTTCTTTTTTACTCTTTCACTTATTTAAGCTTAACTTTGACAATAATAAGTACCCCCACCTATATTAATACAAGGGATTACAAATATTCATATAAAATCTCATAAATGTTCCTTCATTTTTCTTTTCAGCTACATTTATTTTTCCACGTCTATAAAAACCAGTCAATTAAGACGCCGGTTTAAATGCTAATGTCCGCAAGTAGATTTACGTAAATGTTAAAAAGTTCCAAGTTTAGACGATCCGTCAAGTATAATTAATCCTGACGACTGAAAATGGATTTACCATTTATTGGTTTGACATATAAAGTGAATATTTTGGTGCATTATTCTAAAATGATTTTTACAAGCAGACTTTTCAATATTTATCATATAAACATAAAACGAATTCTGAAAATCAAATTTATATTATATAAAATATGCCATTATGGCCTTCAGTATTTTGAAAATTTCTGATTGGTCAACCTTATCTTCCAGACTTGTTAAAATATAAACGAGTTTCTCATTTCTTGGTATCTAAAAGAAAAAAAAATGTAGAATACAAATTTTTTTTTTCAATTCCAACTTTGACCCTTGGATACAACCAAATTGTCAACCTATATTAATGTTAGAGAGATGATGGATGATGATTGATGATGTGCAAGTAAGACAAAAGTATATCACATTTTCCTTTTCAATCTTTAAATTCCAAAACAAAAGGCACTGTTGGGTTGCTCCCTTATTAGGTGAAAAAACCTCACATATATACATTTCACACACACTCTCTCTGTCTATCACTATCTCTTTATCTCGCTCTAAATGCATATCCCGATATATATATATATATATATATATATATATATATCTTGTTTCGAACACTGCATGCTCTTACACTTTGTTGCACCTCCTAAAGACAGAGTGTATAGAAGAGAACCTTCTTGCCACGCCTCTCTTACTCCTCTCTTGTGGTCCATTATTAAAAAAAACCCTACTTTTCTTCTTTATTTTCTCCATTATATTCGAACCTATATATATAACTTTCATGGTTTTTCATACTCTCATATCTTCTTATATATATTAAGATTCACAGGAACTGAGAAGAAAAGAAAGGAAATGGAATGGTCAACGACAAGCAACGTAGAAAACGTGAGAGTTTCTTTTATGCCGCCACCATGGCCGGAGTCAAGCTCCTTTAACACGTTCCACAGCTTCAACTATGATCCCTATGCTGGTATAAGCACACATAATAATCTATATCAACCAATATTTACATAGATGCTTTCGTATATCTTTATTTAGAATTTAAATTATAATCGTGGTCCAATCTTTTTTTTTTGTGCTTTGTTGTGATGGGGTCAAGGTTTTTAATCCATATTCACCTATATGTAGGTTTATGTTATAAGAACATATAGATGTGTAAGTGCCGGTTTACTTTCACGTTTGACAAAATCCATTAACTTGTTTTTTCTCAGTACATATCCATGAACTTGATAGAAAAAAAATCGTTCCCCATTTTCAAGTGTTCTAAAGTTCTACATGTTATTTTATTTTGTTGTATATGATTTATTTGAGAAAATGTTCTCTCTGGCGTCATTCCAAAAACCTTGGGATCTGTTGTTATCTAAAAATGTTACTTTTCTGATGAGACGCTACGCTGTTCTTATCTTCAGTCTAGAAGATTTTTTTTTGTTTCTTCTATTCTTTTGTTTTTGTTAAAGACACTGCTTCTTCTATTCTTGGGATCCAAAGTTTTTTTTTTCTTTGTTCTCTCGGGATCCAAATTATATAAAGTTAAAACGTCACTTTTCAAAAGTTGAGATTATGCTATACTCTGAGAAAATGGATGCGGAGATTTTTTTTTCTTTTAAATTCGCGAAAGGTGTTTATATATTGCTATCTATTGTCCATTTTCCAATGTTTTTCAACTATTATTTTGCTAGGCTTTTGATAAAATTTTTGTTGTGTTCTCTTTATTAGAACCTTAGTCTTTATTGTGTTGTTTACAGCAGGAAATTCATACACGGCTGCCGATACGCAAACCGGACCGGTTATATCTGTACCGGAATCAGAAAAGATCGTAAATGGGTACCGTTTTCCGAGCAACAACAACGAGATGATAAAAAAGAAGAGACTAACGAGTGGACAATTAGCCTCACTCGAACGGAGTTTTCAAGAGGAGATCAAATTAGATTCAGACAGGAAGGTGAAGCTGTCGAGGGAACTTGGTCTGCAGCCACGTCAGATAGCGGTTTGGTTCCAGAACCGCCGTGCACGGTGGAAGGCGAAGCAGCTCGAGCAGCTGTACGACTCGCTTAGGCAAGAATACGACGTCGTTTCTAAAGAGAAACAGATGCTACATGAGGAGGTCTGTGTACCATATTGCACAGTTTCAAAAGTCAAGGGGTTAAAAATATAGTTATCCTTTTTTTGTTATGTCCCTGTGTTCTTGATTTTATCAGAGAGACCCCCAACCCACAGATTAATTTGTTAATTGTGATGCAGGTGAAGAAGCTGAGAGCTATACTAAGAGACCAGGGTTTGATCAAGAAGCCAATTTCCGGCGGGACCACCAAGATTTCCGATGGGGAAGACACGACGGAGATTCCATCGGTGGTGGCAGCTCAGCCAAGAACAGAAAATCTCAACACCAATCAAATCAATGGAGGAAATCAAATTTACGGCATTGATCAATACAACAATCCTATGGTGGTCACTTCTTCTTGCTGGCCGCGTTACCCGTGATAGCTGCTGCTGATCTTAGAGAGAGAGAGAGAGAGAGTCTCAAACAAAGAGTTTAGAGTAGGAGGACTATAAGCGGTGTTAGACTAATACAAGCTTTTGCTCATTGTTGTACCATCTTTAAACCTTAAATGAAACGTTCTTGTGTCCCAACCTCCAACAATATGTCTGAGTCGTTTGTTTGAAGAACAATGCGATCAAAACATGGCTGAGTTTCAAAAATAGCTATATAAACCGGAAATACAAAAACACGCGCGAGGGTACTGATTACTCAGCATTTTGCATTGAGCTTTAAGAACAAGAGAAGAATGTGAAATCACAATCTCTAATAATTACATCCATTGGGCTAAAATTGTCTTTCGAGTAATTTGTTTTAACCAGCTAAGTGACTGTATTAAACTCTGTTCACCTGAAGCAACCCTCAATTAAGAAGATGAAAGAAATTAGAAACATAATACTTTAGTAAGCCCAAAAAGTACCGTACGTAGTTTGAACCAGAAAAGTATACCCATTAAGGAAAGCCCAATGAAAAACAACAACCTTCCCTTTTAAAAATGTTGTTTTTTTAGATCCCAATGTTTTTGTATCCCAATGACCAGTGTTCAAAAAATCGGCATAGGCGGCTAGTCGGGGTTAGCCGACCTGATTTTTATAAATCAGTGAAGCAAATCCGATTTAGTAAAAAATCGGACCAAGTCAGAGAAAATCGGAAAAATCAGATCAAATCGGTAAAATCGGCCAAATCATATTAATTACTTTTATCTTTTTTTCAGTCAAATTTTACGGTTTTGTATAGTAAACCAATATCGATTTACAGAAAAGAGAGAAAAAAACAAGATTTGAAATGTGGATTAGGGTTAATAACTTAATATAATCATCTTCGTTCCTCCCAGCTACTTCACTTTCATAAACTACAAGATACAAGTTTGTTTAATCTTCTCTTTATCTATCTGTACATATTATATAACTATATTGTATTCTCTTAATTTGTCTTTTCATCTTTGTTTACTTTGTTTGTGCTCTGTTTTAAGTTTCAACTTTCAATTTTAACGATGAGCCTAGAAGAGATATTGATTCCGACGATGAAAATGATATAGCTATTTGAAGAATAAGTTAGATATATTTCTCTTTGTTTTATATTTTTAAAGTTTTTAGATTAAAACTTATTTTAGTTTGAAGAATTTGATGATTTTTAGTTTGATTTCTTTGTTGAACTTTATTCTATAATTTTATTTATTATATTTTTTTATTTTTTTATTCAAACATAAATTTTGATAAAATAATTTTTAAGAAAACAATTAAAGATTTTTTAAAAATATGATATATAGATAGAAAATTTATAAAAATTAACAAAAATTTTGCTAACGTAGGCTCCGCCTAGTCTCCGATTAATCCGCTTAGGCGCTAGTCTCCAATCACCCGCCTAGCCACCACCTAGCGATTTTTTGAACATTGCCAATGACTGTCTCAGATTTGATAACAGTCAGACGCAACACGTGAATCCCTAGAACAGATGAATAATGATAATAATAGTTCGCAATTAGGAGATAAATTTCAGATTTTCGAAAATCCCCAGAAAATAGAATCAGAGCGACCAAAAGCGGCAGAGACAGAGAAATCTTTTGAGAATTATCCGCCATTGTTGCTGCAGCTCCGTCGTCGTCAGGATTTGGAGACACGAAGCAGCTAAACGTCTATCACGATTCACCAAGATAATATGACGTAAAAGCCCTTTGGTGATTAGAAATATTACGAAGCTATCACTCTATTGTTTTCCGATGGATCCATCGTTACTATTTTAGGTTTAATCAAAGCCTTTGATTACAAGGTTTTGTCTCGGTAGTTTCAACGGTTTGCTTGGTCCTATTAAGGTCCTCCTCTTCACATTTTCTTTTACATAGTTATTCCATGAATTTCTCGAACCTCATTAACCCGAAAATGTTGATGAATTCAGGCATTCGCAATGGAAACATTCCGTGATGAATATCAAGGTTTAGCACTCTCAGCTGTAAGCTCTTGATCCAAAGTTTACATCTTTATTTTTGCTAACTGAGTAGAGCAATTGAGAATCTTATCAAATCGCCTAGGTTAGTACAGCATGGGGCATTGGACTCATCATTGGCCCTGCTTTGGGAGGTTTCCTTGCTCAGGTCTTCTTTAACAAAAAGCCTTTCAATCTTGTTTTTATTTTACTCTAACTCGCGCTCCCTTCTTGATTGATTCTTGTTTGATCTCCCAACCTTGCAGCCTGCAAAGCAATATCCAAGCTTATTCTCAGAGGAATCAGTTTTTGGGAAGTAAGTATTACTTTCTTCACCTCTTCTTCACTCTCATTGAACTAATATATATATACAGCAGTCTCATTGGTCTATAAATCATAATGCAGATTTCCCTACTTTTTGCCGTGCTTAGCCATATCTTGTTTTGCATTTTTGGTGACCATAATTTCATTACGGATTCCGGTACGCTCTTTACTTTTCATGCTCCATGAAATCCCTAGTTACTGTGTGTTAGCTTAAGGTTAGAGATATTACGAAGCTATCACTCTATTGTTTTCCGATGGATCCATCGTTACTATTTTAGGTTTAATCAAAGCCTTTGATTAAAGCTAAGCCCAAACCCGCTAAGATGTTGGACTTGTAAACCGTAAACAACCAAATCAAATCTGACCAATTATATAACTAGTGGTATTACTATTTTTCTGTAAGTTAGTTTTGAAATCAATACCTCATTTTTATTTTATTATTTTTGATCAGAGACCTTTAGTAAATATAGTAATGTATAGTATATTAATATATTAAGTAAAAAAAATATTAATTGATACTAGTTGATTTTAAAAATAACTATTATTGTGAAATCTTTTTAGGTAACAAAAAGTAGAATTTAACGAAATTATTTCTGAAAAGGTTTTAAAAAAACCAATAACAACATATATGGGTTCTCCTGATCCTTCTGAGTACGCAGTTCTGTCTTCCTTTTTGTCTAATGCATGTATCAGACTCTGTTAAGAGTTCTTATGGGGATTTTAATTTATTTGTTTGACCGTATTATAACAAAATATAATTTTGTCGCACGTCTCGAAGTCTCTAGCTAATTAAATTCTTTGAAATCGTTAACCATGATTCCGAACAATTAGTTACCTTCTGGTTCGTAACTTAGTTTTTTACAAAAAAAAAAGCATTTAAATCTGACAATTAAGAGCTATAAGGAACAAATAATCTATTCAAATCAAAATGTATGTGGTGCAGTGATTTCATTATTTGTTTTCGTTCGTGAATAAGAAAAAAAAGTTGGAAGGAGCGGTGAACAATTGATAAATTGTAGATGAATTATCTGCATTCGATAAATCTACAGTTTCATGATGGTCGATCATAAGAATTTGGTTTTGAATACATGTAGAAATGATCAACTTATTTATTTTTGTTATTTATATTTAGAGATCCCTTATTTATTCGAAAAAAAAATATAGTTCAAAATAAAAAGTTCATAGCAAAAGATTATGATGAAGTTCTTAGCTGGAGAAACAATGTTCAAAATTTGCTAGCCATTAATTGAACGTCTGAAAAGGGTTTAGCGGCTAGCGCCTAATCAATAGGAGGATCGTTTTTTTTATCAATTGGACAAGGCGCAATGAATGCCTATATAATGCTCATATAGATCTGATTTGCTGATGCTTAGTATTTCTGTATTTGGAAGTCATTGCTACTTAATTTTTAAAGTTCTTCTCTGATATTTTTTTGGTTGTTGTTGTTGTTGTTTTGTTTCTAAGTAGTAATTAAAAACTACTTTAAAATTCTTCTTTGTTGTTTTATCGTTTACACTCTCTACATAGACGATCGACTTAGCTATCTGTGTTGATTTTAGCTCTCAAAGGTTGCTTTCAAAATAAGCTTTTGGCTTTTCAGGTTACTGCGATACATGTTTATTACCGTAACTTTTGGTCTTTCAGGTTACTGCACATATATAGACGTTTATGGACTTACCAATAATGACAAACGTTTTAATTTGCATTATATACATTCTGTGAATTTGCTTGTATATAAGACAAAACAAGATCCAAAAAATTGATGCATATATTCGACCCCCCAAAAATTATAATATTTATATAATTCCCAAATGAGAGGGGGAATCATGCTGTCAGTTTTATTAGGGGACCATTTCACTTATTTTAACCTTGACTTTGACCGTGGATACCCCCACCTGTATTAATTACGTGCAATTACGAAACTTCATCTTTTCTTGTCACAAAAAATACTAGATCGTTGTTAAAAGAATCATTTCGAAAGAAGTATTTTATAAACAATAAGTATATTAATTTATCCGAATTAGGCAAGATTATCTAGAAAATGCATCCTTTTTCAATCCTACGTCATTCAAAATATCAAATATAACCCGTTTAGTAACGTTTACAAAAAAAAATGCCAGCCACCGATCCGCTATGTTTAAACCAATAGTCCTTTTAATACATATATCAAAAACCATATAAAGAAAATTCCAATTCTGACCGTTGAATTCAACGAATATATCGATCGGGAGATGATGTATGATGTGACGTGAAAGTGAGAACAAAAATCACACTCCACCATCTTTCTCTCTCTCTCGCTATCCCTTTCTCCATCTCCATCTCTGCCCCTATCTTTATATCTCCCTATAAAGATACCTACCTCTTGTTCACTGCATGCGCTCTCACACTTTGTTGCACCTCGGAAAGACAACGTGTATAGAAGAAGAAACTTCTCATCACCCTTCTCTCGCTCGTATGGTCCAACAAAACCCTAATTTTGTATTCTATTTTTCTTAGTTCAAGTAGAACCCTAATTTTTTTCCTCTGTAATCATTTATCACGTCTTCTTATAAGGTTCACAGGAACAGTAAAACCAAAGGAAAAGGAAATGGAATGGTCAACAACGAGCAATGTTGAAAACATGAGAGTTGCTTTTATGCCACCGCCGTGGCTGGAGTCTAACTCCAACTTGTTCCACAGCTTGAACTATGATCCGTATGCAGGTATATGCATGTACACACATATATGCCAAACCTATTTACCTCTATACCTTTGTTTCTATATATATATATATATATATATATTCGTGGCTTCGTTGCAATGAGGTAAAGTTTTTTAATCGATATCACCAAATGTAGGCTTGTGTGTGTGTGATTAAAGATTTAGGTTTGTATTATAAAACCATATAGATATGTGTAAGTGCTTGTCTAATTTCACGTTAGATAAATCCATATGAACTTTGTTTTTTGTCATAACAAATTTTGTTTTTGTCATAACAAATTCATTAACCTTATTTCCTCACTTTCAAGTGTTTCGGAGTTCTTTATTTCCCCTGTTTCAAGTGTTTCGAAGTTCTTCAAGTTTAGTGAAATGATTTTACATAAATCAGCAAACAGAGATGTCAAGTGTTTTAAGTTCTTCTTTGAGGACGGTAGACGTATTCGGTAATGAGAATACCCTGGAGACTGTTTTTGAACTTTAAATAAAATTCATCTAGTTATTTGGCATATATAACTAAGAAAATATTTTAAGTTCTATTATTATGAAACCGATGTAAAGTATGAACATTCTTTTTGAATTTTTATTTATTTTGGTATACAGACCTTTTTTCTGAGAACTAGACGCCATTTTAAAAATCTTGGGACTATTTCACTTGCTGATGAGAAGTGGGATACCGGTAGATGATAGATGCTCGTACGTTTTTCTTGGGAACATCCATGCTCAGCTGTTCTAAAAGTAGAAACGTCGCTTTTTCTCAAAAGTTTAAGATTCGTTTTTCCGCTCTTGAAACTAAATGTGTATTTTTTTTTTTTTTTGTATTTTTGAATTATTATGGTTGAGCGTTTAATTGTCGTTTTCTTAATTGATTTATCAAGTTGTAGTAGGAAATTCGTCTACGCCTGTCCTTAGGCAAACCGGACCGGTTATCTCTGTCCAATGTCCAAGTAACAACGACGAGATGATGGTAAAAAAGAAGAAGAGACTAACGAATGAACAATTAGCGTCACTTGAAGAGAGTTTTCAAGAAGATATCAAATTAGATACAGACAGGAAGATGAAGCTGTCGAGGGAGCTTGGTCTGCAGCCACGTCAGATAGCGGTTTGGTTTCAGAACCACCGTGCACGGTGGAAGGTGAGACATCTCGAGGAGTCGTACGACTCGCTAAGGCAAGAGTACGACGCCGTCTCACGTGAGAATCAAATGCTACACGATGAGGTCTGTGTACCATAATTAATGCACTAATTTATATAAAAATCATAGGGTCGTATTTAATATTAACAATCATGGGGTCGTATATATTCACTAGGAATTGTCTTGTGTTGTAGGTGAGGAAGCTTAGAGGGATAATACTAAAAGACCATTTGATGAGGTGCCAATCAGATCAGAACAGCAATCAAATCTCCGGAGGAAGTCAAATTTATGGTGTTGGTCAATACAGTATCCCTACCTTCGTTGCTTCACCTTGCTGCCCCCCAATATCCCATCCGCCTTATCCGTGTTAGGTGTTGTGGAACTTGATAGAGCGAGAGCCTCACATCGAGCTCTAGATTTGAACTTTTAGTTTTCAATAAGTAATGTTAGACTACGACAAGCTTTTGCGGTGCATTGTAAGATTTTTAGATAAATGGAACGTTCTTGAGTTTGAAAACCGAACCCAAAGAATATTTTGGATGTGATTGGATCTACAAATGGTCGGGTCAGGTGGTTTGTATTGAATAGCCCCATACAAAGAAGAATCAGGAAACTACTGAGCCTAGGAAATGCTCACACTAATCGGATAATCCTAAAAGAGTCTAAAAACAAAACAAGCTATATAAAACAAAGAAATGACTAGTGTGGTAAAGGGATTGGGCAAAATCAAAATCAGAATTTTGACAAGATATATTTTTCTATTTTCCCCTAAAAACAAAAGATGAAAATGAATCATATATAAAAAAAGTTACCTGTAAATGGTGGATTATTACTTTTATGAATGAAAATGAATGTGTAAGAATAATTACTTTGAAGAAAGATTCATTATTACTTTCTTCTTCCAGGCAACATTTTACCAGATCAAAGTCACGGTATTTCAATGCATTAGCTGTTTTTTTTTTGTTTTTTCGTTTCTTTGTATCTGCTTGGGTTATTATTATAATTTCAAAAAATTAAATATATATATAGATAGATAATTATTATTTGTTTATTACAAAATTAATGAAGAAATGAAAAAACACAATCTCCAAACAAACAAAAACTCCACAAGCCGACCCATAAACTTAGACCTCACGGATCCTTACATTCAATCTCCTAACCCAAATCGAATGAAGAATCATATGAAACACATCAAACCTCTTAGCCGGAGAATTCACCTCAAAATGTCGCCTTACCTTCAACACTCTCCGGTACATCCTTAGATACTGTCTCGGCGATATCGACGTCAAGATTGTCTTCAAATTCGGAATGTCTTCTACGGAAACGATCACCGAGAACGATCTCCAATTCAACACGTCGCTGAACGGAGGAACGTAGCCTGAGTTTATCAGAACCGGGACGCAACCCGAGTAAAGCGCTTCGACGATCCTCGGGCTCGCGACCTCGTAACCGCTCGGACATATGCAAAACTTGCTGTTCCGCATCATGTCCGAGTAAGACGTTCCTCTAGGGAGATATTTGTGAACTCTTATGTCATTATCTTTGTTCTCCCAATGCTGGAGCAGAACCGGCCTAACCGGTCCGTGTACACCTCCTGCAAAGAAGGCCAAGATCGGACGGCTAGAAGGTGAAGGACCACCAACTAATCCTTTTAAAGATCCTGTCCGTAGGTTAATCTCTGGTATTGACACATCTTTCCTCGGTTTGAATCTCTCCGACGTGTTGGCATTGCATAGAGCTCGGATAGAGTTTTGTCCAAGATGAGGATGAGAGAAACTTGCCTCAGGACCCTACACCAAAACATTCCAAGATTATAACGATAATCAATTATTTAAAAGTTATACGCTAAGTAACGCAGGAAATATAACACAACATTAGCGTACCCAATCGTGGCAAGAAAGTATGAAATGGTCTGCTCCGATGCTGCGATTCCAATAGGAGTATTTATCGCTCACAAGATCGATGTAATCTCTAACGGTTTTTCTGATGGGGCTGAAATCATGGGAGTTGCTTACATAAACATATCTTACCATCTTGACGACACTAAGTGGTAAATAAAAGGCGTGAGCCTTGTCGGGATTGTTGGTGCGGAAACGTGTATCTGTTTCCATCTCGTAGATGAAGTTTCCTTCCATAGAGTATATGCTTTTGCATGGACCATCATGGAATAACGGTGGTTCACCTTCTTTGTACACAAATATCTTGAATTGTTTCTCCATCTCTAAGTAGCTCCTACGAAATTCAATAACTCGAATAAGATAACAAGCGTAAACAAGTCGCCGTCATGTTAAGAATCTTCATGCCAAAATATTATAACATTCTCTAAATAGATATATATGCATATAAGAGTATAATAAGATATATATCTTCTTAATTAAACTCTATTCTAGCCTACAGGAATCTGTATACGGTCCTCTAACCTGGATTTAATATACTGAAACTTTGTAATGTTTCTTAATCAACAATCAACATAGTACGACTAGTCTCGTATCAACTGTCAACGTTTATCTTGATTTCAAGATCGATTTAACAAAACGCTACCTTATTTTGCTAAACCATATAAGATGGGCCAATTTGAAGTCTCCTTGCATTTACTATTTTAGTCCCTAAAAAAAATCAAGGTATGTGATGCTTTTCGTGTCTTAAGCATACAAGATGTTTCGTTCAAAAAAAAAAAAAAAAGAAGCATACAAGATGTGACTGCAAAAATCTCTTGCATTTTTTTAATTATTAAAAATATATAATTAAATAAGGTATGTAATCATTTCATCACCATGATACATCCATGTACTAGTACATACTACATACATCTAGCTAGTCGTCACAATGTACGGTTTTAGTAGCTAGTCGTCACAATATAGGTTTTCCGATGAAATCGATGATAAAACAGCTTAACCCTAGTATAAAACCCGCTAATTATAAAACGTAGTAACATTCAAATATATTAGAAACGTCCTTGCCAGTTCTGATCACCACTTTTAGTAAATATCAGTTCCAAGCCTCTTAATTAATGATTCATAGCTCCAACCCGTTTGACTTGAAATTTAATTCATTTAAATACTTAGCGAACCAGTGAATTCATAGTTCGAAGCCGTTTGACTTTACTTTAATTCAAATAAATTCTTAATTAGCGTATCTAGATGTTGTAACTTCAAACAATTTTATTCAAGATAGATATTAATCAATAGAAAGTAATCATAATTATTCTTTATCTCTTTAACAAAAATTGACAAAAAAAAAAAAAACTTTTAACTTACCGATGAAAGACCTTGGCATTCCAATACATAGGACCAAGAGGTACATAGTCCGGGTCATCCACGGGATCGTCCATCGAAGCGGCTTTAATGGCGACTCGAGCCTTTTGTAGTTCGAATTCGATTTTCTCTAAATTGCTCATAACTCTTTTCTTAATTTGTTCCGATGATGCCGTTGAAGTGACGTTGTTACTCGCTGAAGTAATGTTGATCGGGTTCAATCCAACTGTCCGGTTATTATCACCCTGTTTCAATATATTTAAAGTCTTTTAGATTAATTAATATGCACATCTAAAAACATATACTAAATGAATTGACATGTGTTGTTGATTAATTAGTTGACGCTTAGACCACCCGACCGCACACATATCATAAAACATTTCTCTATAATCTTTGTTTCATTAATTTGCGGTTTTGCCGACCGGTTTCCTCATCCTCAGTATTAACCAATTAAAATTTACAGTTGACAATTTTTTTTTTTAACAGTTGACTGCACCACGGAATTTGAAACATAAGTTTTGAATAAAATTTGTTGGTAAAATGGAAAATTAGAAAATAAATAAATAAAAAAAAGACAGAACAAAAAGAAAAGACATGCAAAGATGAAGAAGGAAGAAAAGAATAATTTGATATTCCTAAGAAATTTTCCTAACCTGAAAAAATTCCACTTTAGTCGATAAAGATGATGCTGGCGACAACAATCCCGTCGCCGCCTGCAGAGGAGATGGTGCCGGTGCCGGCGCCGGAGGCAGATATGGAGAAGAAGGAAGAAGAGGAGGAGAGAGATGATTAGTGGATAAAGAGGTTAAGAAAGATGACGGATTTTTAGGACCAATATTTACAAAGACGAAACAAGAAACGATAACAAGAGGAACCATGAAGAGAAAGAGTTTAGCTGAGGAACATGCGGACATAATTCTGCACTTCCCATTGACATCTTCATCTCCCATATCTCTCTCTCTCTTAATTCTCTTCTCTGAGAAGAAGATTGATTATAAAAGAAACCAGAAGAAGACGAAGAATCAAATTAAAGAAGAGAGTTTTTTGTTTTTTTTTTGTTTTAATTTGCTTTTTTGCTTTCGGTTTTAGTAGCAGAATAAGAGAGAATTTAAGGAAGGTGAATTGAAGAATAACATTTGGTAATAAGTGGTTGCTCACTCGTGCCAAGCGTCATCTTTCCACTCTCTGTTTACTTCACACATGCAAACTTCTCATTATTTCCCTTTTTACCCCAAACTTTTTGATTCTACCAATTTCCACCCTGCCCCAACCAAAACTCCCGTACAGTCGTACGTATATTAAGAACTTACATTTATTACTTGTGTATACAAAGGGAAACATTAGAAACCAATCTGCGATAACAATTGTTGTAATTCACCAGAGATCTTTACAAGAACACTTCCCATTCATAAAACGATGAAACCCTGAAGAGTCTCTCAAAACTATCTCTCTCTTGACCACAGCAGAAACGTACTTGAAGAACTCGTGACAATCACCACAAAGCCTCACATTTTTCACAACCCTGACCGGTTTTCCCCGATTGTTGCTCGTGAGAATGCCATAAGTCACGGCGAGTTTCGCGCTGTGGTGAAACAAAAAACTCTTCTTCATAAACTCATCAACCTCCTGAAGAACAAACTCTGTGTCCGGTTCATATCCAGCTCTCAGACATTCCATTATCAGTATCTCCAATCCGCTGTATATGTCTTTCTCTTGCGGGTGGGATGTGTCACGCGCGTGAAACGAATGTACTTGGTTCTCATGGATTATCCAGCTTCTAGAAGGATGTTTCCGGTGGCCTCTTTCCCGCATTTCCTCTCTAATCATCTCAGAGCGATGCCAGAGTCCCGAAGCTGAGTAGATATTGGATTTGAGGATGTAATCAGACGGGTTGTCAGGTTTTGTGCCTAGTATAAGCTTTGCTACGCGTTTCGCAATGCTTGTGTTCGAATGGACTCTGCAGCTATCGAGCAGAGATCTCAAAACAGAGACCTCCGGCTGAAAAGGCATCGAGTTTACTGTGTCTTCTGCTTCTTCAAGAAGGCCCCATTGACCAAGAACGCCAACGAATGCAGTGTAATGTTCAGTTGTTGGTTCAATGTCATAGATAGTCTTCATGGAGAGAAATAAATCGCGGCAGCTACTAAGCTTATCTGACTCACTATACCGAAACGCGGAAATAACAAGGGCGAGGGTGATTGTGTCAGGCTTGATACCTTCCTTATTCATCCTCAACCATAGAGCCAGTGCCTCGTCACCGTTTCTTTGAAGGATGTAGTTAGAAATCAAGCTGTTACAAGATACAACATCGTGTTTTCGCATAGTGTTAAAAACCTTTATGGCATCATCAGAGCAGCAGCATTTAGAGTACATGCCAATCAAAGAATTCCCCAAGCCAACATCAGAAAAGTAACCACCTTTAAGAGCATAGCCATGGATCTGATAACCCATTTCCCGAAACCCTAATGTTCCGCAGACCGCAAGAATCAAAGTCAACGAAACTTCATCCAACACCAATTTCTCTTCACAGAGAGTGCGAAGAAATAGAGATAAAGCCTTCTCAGGTAAGCCGTTCCGAGCGTAGCCACCGATTATTGACGTCGTTGCCTTGGAGCTATCCAGATTAGAAGGCCACTGCTCAAAAATCTCCTCAGCATCTGCCATCCTTCCACACCTTGTGCACATATCAAGCAATGCTGTCTGGATACAAGAATTCGAAGCACATCCAAACTTTATGCAAGACCCGTGAATCTGTTCGCTTACTTCCTTCTCTGAAATTAAGCCACAAGCGTCCACGGCGCTTGTTAAACTGAAATCCGTTAACACAACACCTCTCTGCAGCATTTCAGTGAACAATCTTAGTGCCTTCAAGCCATGGCCATTTCTACACAACCCAGCCATTAGAGCATTATAGGTAATAACGTCTTTTTCAGGTATCTTCTCAAACATCTCGACAGCAGAATCCACCATTCCAACTGTCATGTAAGCTGTGATCATCTCCGTCAAAGTAAAGCCATCTCTCACACTCATCATCTCGTACAAATTCTCTACCTTTTTAATATCCCCGCATTTAGCATAAAACCCAATCAGAGCGTTATTCACACTCAACTCTTGCTTCAGGCCGACTCTAATTGCACGAGAATGAAGTTCTCTGCCTCTCATTAAGTCACTGGAATCAGTACAAGAACTCAAAAGCGTTGAGAGGGTAAAGCTATCAACCCCCACTCCTTCGACTCTGTTCATCTCATAAAACAAACCGAAAGCTTTATCAGACATGCCCTCTTTCACCAAACTCGAAATCACAGTGTTCCACGAAGCCACATCTCTGTGAGGAATTTCATCAAACAACTGAAGCACATCATCACTCGAAGACCCAGGATGCTTCGCGTACAAGCTCATCACCGAATTACCAACATACACAGAATTCAGAAACCCTGATTTGACTATCAAACCATGAATCTGAATACCCAGCGAGAATCGACATATCCTGACGCAGGCAGTCAAAATCGCGACAAAAGTATACTCATTAGGATGGATTTTACCTTCGCTTCTCATCCTGAAGAAAAGCTTAAGGGCTTTGATTTCGAGGTTTAATCTGGCGAATCCCGAGATGAGAGCTGTGTAAGAAACCACCGTTGGTGAAGACAGCGAGACGAAGACGAGGAAAGCATCGCGAGGGAAACCTAGCTTGAGATACGTCGAGATTAGGGCATTTCCAAGATTGATATTTTCTTCTCTAAGCTTCAGAAACGAAGCGTGCACGGCTTTCGTTACCTCGGCGTCGTGGTACTGAGTGGACAAGCGAAGCAGATAGAAAAACCCATCAACAATAGATTCAGTCTCCTCCGCTTCTTCACTTTCGAACGAAGAAGAAGATGAGGAAGAACGCTCATGGATGGTTACTGGTGAGAGAGACAGAGACGCAGAGAGGGGAAAAAGGCGCTCAGGTTTTCCATTGAGCGAGAGAGAAGAAAGAGATAACGGAGGCAGAAGAAGTTTCGGCCGATAAACCGGCGGTGGAATATGTGGAAAATTGAGGAGGCAGTGATGATTAACGGTGGACATGAATGAATTTTTAGAGCGCTGGGGCGCTAAATCGCCATGGATAAACCTTCACTTGTCCGATTTAGTAGTGGAGAAATTAAAATAAGGTCCCTATATTATCTAAAAACATGTACATTTTCCCTTTATTATTGATCTGATCAAAGATGTTCGTCAAACTAACTTTTTGGCCGAAACTGCATAAATGGCAATGATAAAATATTGCATATGTTATGACTTTTTTTTGTGGTCGTTGTGATTTATATATCTTAATTGTTATGTAATATATTTCAAATATATCTATATATATTCCATTACATCATAATAATTATTTGGATGAGTATTTGGAATAAAAAGTATGGTTTAAGAAATGAGGGAGATTCCTTGGACAAGAAGATTGTTTGCGATAACACGATTGGCTGCTTCAGATGGATGGAAACCGTCCCAAAACACGTAATTTGTAGCATTCGAACATGTGCCGACCGATCTTGCATTGCAAAGGAACGAAGTTTCCATTGTTCCGGTTCCACAACAAGCCCTTCTTGATTCAAAAAACCCTACATTAGAAACAACAAAACATTTTCATTAAAAGCCTGTCGTCGTTATTTGTCTGAAGGTTAATGTTGGGCTTTCACAGAAATTGGGAGACGTTTAGGGTGTTTTTTGAAAAAAAATCATATGGTTTGTCTGGTTAACCGTTTAAAATTTTACCCGGATTAACGGAAAGGAATGTCAAAATACCGTACCATTATCGATAGGGTTCATGACCATGCTCAAGAGAGGATTATAGATGTCAAGGACTACCAATTTCAGACCGGGAAGCTTGTTGGTTAAGTACATAGAAGTGTTGTTGAGTTTGGTATTGAAAGAAACCGCGTCCCGGTTAAATCTTTCGACGCACGTATTGTTACCGGCTCCACCAAACATCGTTATCGCCGCCGGTATACAACCCAACGGCGGTAAAGTCGTTACTCCAATCTTTCTAGCCCCTAAACCATACAAATTCTGCCAACAAAAAAAAAAGAAAGCTCAATCTTCAATTGTGGAAATTCAGAGTAAACCGGTAGAATGATACATTGGTAAGTCGTATGATTAGTATAATTAGTATTAGTAGTTACTTGGACAAAGGTGGAATAAGAGTTCATGAGACGATCTGAGTATCGATCTGGCGTGAAAATCCGGTTGAGAATCGGATTGATGTAATAGCTTTGAAGGAAATCGCTTGGTCCGGTGCTAAGAAGATGAATCGCGCCTGCGAATATCTCCTTCGCTCTATCTCTCCCTACCATGCTCGTCACCTTGCTTTGGTACTCTTTGTAGTTTTTCAGCTGTTGGTTTAATGTGATTGCGTTCTACAACAAAACGTATGATTAACCATATAATATATGTTAAAATCATTACGGATAACTAATTTATACCAGGATTCAAACCGGGTTTAAACTAATTACGTATAACAAGGCAGTGTCGTCATGAAAACCGGAAGCACCAGAGGCGAAATTGGCTCCGGTTAACAAATTTGTCCCATTTGCTTCTTGGCTAAGGTACGCCACCGGGTAAGAAGTGAACCCTAGATTCTCAGCTGCTCAACAACAAACACAAAAACCAAACAAAAAAATGAAGTAGGAAATTATGGATCCAAATTAATTATAACAAAATAACAACTATGAGAAATGGAATCTTTGAACCTATGATCAGAGCCTAAGCAAAAAGAAAGATGTTAGTATTAATGTGATTCAGGCTGGCTCGAACCGGTAAAGTCGGTAGCGAGTTTCCCGTTAGAGAAACGGCCGGTAGCATTGTGGGCAAAGAAGTCGCGGCCGTAAGGAGGAAAATTGGCTTTAATGAGGGTATTGCGGTGATTGTTGTTACCGGCATCGACAACGGAATCTCCCATTATGATTAGAGCCGGTACAAGAGGCTGACCGGTCCCAACGCCGGCGTAGAAACCGGCAAGAACCAAAAAGCTCATCAACTTTATAAACATCTTCATTTTCTCAACGGTATAGCAAGATAAAGAGAGGAGTGAGTACTGAAGAAGTGGTGAATGGTTAGGGGTTTTAAAGGAAGAGAGCGTAATGAAGTAGCTTAGAAACAATTGTTTGAAGCTGCATGCACCAATCTGAATCCTCTGTTGCATTTCATTGATAATTTTCACTCAGGCCAATTAATACCCTCTGTATTTATTATATCAGTATTTTGATGTAGTTACAAGGACTATAATCACTCAAAATGTGTCGTCTCTGAACTCATATTTTTGTAATAAAATTGATCACACGGTAGAGTTAAAACCTTGAATAGAGTAAAATAGTTACATTATGGCTATATGAGAATGCATTTTAAAATCTCAGCTATCACTCTAATTATTATTTTTCACGGAACTTTACTATATTTTCTAAAGCATGATTATTGATTTATTGAATGTAGAAGGAAACATATATTTAATTTGAAATTTGCTGTAAAGAAAAAAAAAACAATAACAACTAGTAGTTTCGCTTTCCGGCATTTTCAGTAGATTCGACAGTAACGTCGTATTGGAAAAAAAAAAAGATGTTTGACCTTAACACGCAATGCATAATCAGTAGGCATAATGCATACGATACCTCTCACATTTTTCATGCAATCACAAAAAAACAAAAAAAAAATATAAATATTTCAGGACTTAATTGGTAAATACTTAAAGTTGGTTGATCTTAGTCAAAAGATCTACGAAGAGATCACATGTTTTAGCATGTGTATGAAACTAACTTCCACTTCCTGAATTCTTCCTAACAAACCTTTTTGTTTTCTTCCTTGGCTCTCCTCCGTCATTTCGGATTTTCCTTTTTTTGTTCCAACAAGTGTAATGTATTTAACCGAATGTATCCAAAAGTTTTAATTTCATAAGCTGGCTTTTCGTTTTGTCACAACTATAAAATAAAGAAACATTTTTACAGTTTTTATTGGTTGATCGAGCGCACTTATTTGTGGTGAAGACTACACCACAAGGTCGATATCTAATCATCGTATATCTTAAATCAGTTGATGAGAGCTACATTCATAAGTCACGAATTCACGATGACTAGATATCGAACCATGTGAATGTTCACAGTAACCTTGAAGACTAAAGACACACAGTCACACACTGACTTCTCAAAGCTGCCCATTACACCAAACCTTAACTGTTGTTCTTACTGTTGCCTGCCCCACCTTTCAACATCACTCGAATCCCTTCCCGTTTTAGGCTTCTTCCAATTTGGTCCTATACATCAACCTGAAATGTTGAATAACTCTAACAAATTCTGGTACATGACCTCATACTTTACTTTGGTTAAAAATGATGTAAGATTAACGCGAGGAGCTCCTTTATTTGGTGAAAAATTTTCTACATGGTAAAGATAAATGAACGAAATACTAAAATTTATATAAAGAAATATAAAAATTAATGATGAGATTATAGTATATAGATTTGTCAAAGCTTGTAGCTTTCTTTGCAGAACAAGGCCTAATCACCATAGCTGAGTTAAGAGGGAACAGAGATTGGGCCTTATACTTAATGTTGTCAAGAAAAGAAAAGAAAAATAAATTTGTAACATTTATACCCGAACCGGCCGGGAAAATGATCCGGTACAGATTTATTGAACCATTCGGTTTAGGCTATTTAGTTAATTTTATGAAGCCGTTTCTTTTATCGGTTCTTCGCTCGTCTCTCGCGCGGTGTGTTTCCCAGTCGCCGCCGATTCTCGTACCGGTGTTTCTACTCGCTTAACCGTCGGTAAGTTTTCCGACTTTTAGTCGACAAGAAGCAAAAGCTTTCAATTTCTATCCAATTTTGGTTCAGCTTTGGAATTAAAAACCTATATTTTTGAGCTTTTCAATTTCTACCCATCTTTTTCAGCTTCTCAGTTTGAAGGTAATTAATTTCGTCGGCATCGATCTATCATATACTAGTCTAGTGAATCCGTTTTGCTTATCGTATTTTTTTCTTTTGATGAAGTAGTAATTACGGTTCCTTGAACTCAATTCAGCGGTTTGCATAGGTTTTGATAAATTAGGCTGAAATTTTTGCTTCATCCTAAAAATTCTCAATGTTCTGAAGAGATGTCTTTTGGTTAGTCAAAACTTCAGATTGAGACTTTGTATTTCAGAACATTTGTAATGTCCTGATGAGTATGTCTCAATCTTAATTTTGTAGACGAAAAGATCCCTAATATATCCAAAAATGGGAAAGAAGAACAACTGTTGGAATCCTCTGATGAAGAAGGCTCTCAGGTAAGCGACTACTTACACTTCTGGTATTTCGTTTACCTTTTTTTCTTTCTGTTAGGTCATTATTCACCGTTTTCTTTTCTATGCTTGTTCTTTGAAGGGAGACGTCCAAGCAGATTTTGAGTTCTTTGACCCCAAAGCTACAGACTTTCACGGAGTCAAGATCCTCCTACAAAACTATCTCGATGACAAGGAGTGGGATTTGAGTGGTTTTGTGGATTTGATATTGGATCAAACAACGGTAGGAACTGTGGTCAAAGTAGCAGATGATGAGGATGAGGCATTATTTGCTGTTGTCACTGCTCTTAACTTGGCAAGATACAAGGCAAGTCATGTAAACTCACCTTTGTTAAGTTCTAGATCTGTGTATGTGAAGCTTACTTGGTGATTTGATTGTTAAGCTTGTTGAAGTAATTAATTTTAATGTGCAAAGATGTTTGTTTGCATTTGTTTCTGTAATTTGCGGTATGTGACATATTAACTATTGTTTGTTTATGTTCAGGACAATAAGTGTTTTAGAGAGCTAAAAGAGTTTCTTCTGAAAGTATGTTAGGAGCATAATATAGCGAGTGATCTAGAACTTCTCTTGGAGAAAAAGGCAAAAGATGTTGGTTTATTGGTATCTCAAAGAGTGATGAATCTTCCTCCTCAACTCCTTCCTCCACTGTATGATGGACTGTTTGATGAAGTCTCATGGGCTACTGAATATGAGGTTTGATCTTTAAAAAAAAAGTTAGGTAACTTCTTTTCTTATGAGCAATGAAATTATAACAGTTAACTCTCTGTTTTGTAGCGTACAGAAGAGCTCAGGGGGTCATTCCGCTTCAAGTCATATATTCTAGTCACCAAGATTTACAAGGTAATTTGTGTTTTTTCAATGTATTTGTGCGATTCTCGAATAAGCTTGCTTGTAATAACAGTGTGTTGTGGACCATATGGATTTCTTGGTTATATAGTTGAAGAATCCTAAGCAGAAAAAACCTCGTCATGCTGAAGAAGACAGCAAGGAAACAGTATTCCTTAAGCCTGAAGAAGATGAGATTTTTCTCGAGGTATGTATTCTCACATTACTTACTCTATTTCCCATGCGAAAAGAACAAAAATTCTCTAAACTTTTGTCGAAAAAAAGCTTAGCTCTTTGTCCTTCACATTCCCTATGCACTCACAGCTCGTTACATCTCAAGAGGTGAGTTATCTCTTTTAATTCCAACATACTTTCCCTGGAATCTCCTAAGTTTGATTCAATTGTTCCTGGTTTGTAATCTTTGGATATAATGGCGATTCTAGCAGATGAAGAATTATCAGCTGACGGGTCTAGTGATGGTCGTAGAGGCAGACAAGATTCTTGAATTCAGAAAGAAGTTGGATTCTCTCAGTAATGAACAATGTCAATGATGTTTATCTATTATATTGTTACTGAATTTTCCTTTTGGAAAATGTTTTCTTGATAATTAAGCCGAGTAAAACCAAAAAATTATCTTCTTCTTTTTTTGTCAACTAAAGTAAACAAATCGATAAAATTTTTCTCATTTGTGTTTATTTTCAGAAAAAGAAACAGTAATGTTGACAAAAGAGAATACATAGTATGTGCGGATCACACCTATTGGGCTTTTCTAAGTCCATGTCCAACTTCCCTAATTAGTATGATATTGTCCGTTTTGGACCTTAACTGACAAAGCCCGCACGGATTTGTTTTTGGATTCTTTCGCAAAAGGCCTCATACTAATTGAAGTTGGACATTACTTATATACTAGACCATATTGGTCTAAACTTCGGATGTGGGACTTTGGATTGATTCCCAACAATTTCCCCCTCAAGCCAAAGACCTATAACTCTTGATCTTCAACTTACAGCGATACTTAGTACCATCTTGTACTTCTTAATCGCAATGTCACTTTAAGGGTTTTTCTCCCACACCGAATATTCAGTCCAATCCAACTTCTCCAAGTCCACTTTTTCTTGACCTAGGCTCTGATACCATTTATTGGGCTTTTCTAAGCCCATGTCCAACTTCCCTAATTAGTATGATATTGTCCGCTTTGGGCCTTAACTGACAAAGCCCGCACGGATTTGTTTTTGGACTCTTTCCCAAAAGGCCTCATACTAATTGAAGTTGGACATTACTTATATACTAGACCATATTGGTCTAAACTTCGGATGTAGGACTTTGGATTGATTCCCAACAACACCGAGTTGGAATACAGTGGTAAATTGGTATAAAAATGATCTGAAATCTGTATTAACTAGAACTTTCTTGTTGGATTGTGTAAATCAGAACCAAGACTGTGAAGAACGACAGTGTGACTGTTGTTCTCTACTCTCTTTCTTATCCTTTGGACTCTCCCTAAAGACAATTTTTTCTTGTAATTTTTATTTTGGTCGCAAATAAACTCTTCCAAAAGAAAGTCTTTGCAGTTTGCATAACACAAAATAATTCTTACAAAAGTAAAAAGGTAAGTAAACCCAACTAATATTAAACAAAGAAGTAAAGAGAACGAAGACATACAAGAAAACACCTCATTTATAACGACCATATTCGTTGTAAATTCGTTGTAAATGAGTGTTTGCATCGATTTTACGACGAAAATCAAATCGTCGTGAATCGATTGTCGTAAATCAAATTTCGTCGTAAATTCGTTGTAATTAGTAACGATTTATATTCGTCGCTAATTTACGACGATTTTACAACGATATTTAATATTTTTTTAATTTTAATTTTTAATTTTTTACAACGATTTTACAACGATTTTTATTATTTTTTTATTTTTACAACGATTTTACAACAATTTTTATTATTTTTATTATTTTTATTTATTTATTTTACGACGATTTTACAACAATTATTTTATTTTTTTAAAATTTTTCCAGCAATGGTGGCTCCGGTGGTGATAGCTTTTCCGGCGGTGGTGGCTCCTCCGGCGGCGGTGGCTCTTCCTGCGCCGGTGGTCGCCGGTAGTCGCTGGTGGTCGCTGGTGGTCGCCGGTGGTCGCTGGTGGTCGCCGGTGGTCACCGGTGGTCGCTGGTGGTCGCCGGTGGTGGTCACCCGTGGTCGATGGTGGTGGTCGCCGGTGGTGGTCGCCGGTGGTCGCCGTTGGTGATCTGTGGTGGCCGGTGGTTACTCTGATGATAGTGATACACTGATTGTTTAATAGTTATGAGTAGGTATATATATACTAGAACAAATTTTCTAAAACTACCGATGTGGGACTTCGTATATTTTTTATGAAATCGTTGTAAAATCGTTGTAATTTACGACGATTTTACGACGATTTGATTTTTTTTTTAATAAAAAAAAATTAAAACAAAATTTTTAAAAAAATTAAAATATAAAAATTTTAAAAAAAAAAAATCGTCGTAAAATCGTTGTAATTTACGACGATTTTACGATGATTTGATTTTTTTTTCAATAAAAAACAATTTTTTAAAAAAATTAAAAAAAAAAACAATTTTAAATTTTTTAAAAAAAAAATAATTCGTCGTAAAATCGTCGTATACGACGATTTATTTTTTAAAAAATTATTAATTTCTAAAAACAAAATATCGTCGTAAAAACGTCGTAGATGACGACGGTTTTACAACGATTTTTTTTTGCAACGAATTAACAACGATTGTGTGCCAAATCGTCGTTAATTCGTCGTTAATTTGCGACGACAATAATTCGTTGTAAAAAGTCATTGCTAACTCTATCTTTTCTTGTAGTGAATTCTGCAGTTTTATCGCAGTGCAAAAGCATCGTAGAAGAAGCTCCTATAATTTGAAGTATTTTTATAAAAATGCATTGTTTTTTTGTTTTAGTATAAATCGTTATGTTTACAATTGAACTTTTGCCTGTATGATCATCTTAATTTTTAGGTGTAATCAATTAACGATTGTATTCATTTATAAGTACAAATAAAAATACGATTTTCGTGACTCACATGCAAGACATATATTTATGATAAATAAAACCTTTTATTCACGCAGAAATATGTTTACTACTTACACAATGGCTTGCTCCAGTTCTGAAAAAAAAGAATAAAACTTAAACCAAAATTAAACTAATAACGGTAATGATCGAACATTTTCTATAGTTTATTGTTACAATGTTATACATTAGACATATAATTTACTTTGTCCATATCAGACCTTAATAATACGAGGATATATTAAAACTTCTAAGTTTTCGGGATAAAAAAACAAAAAGAGGAACGAATATCCCTATAGTTTACAGGAACAATACAACGTTATATGTTAGTCATAAAAATGTAAGAGATTCATGAAATTTACTTTATCATAAAATGTAAAAGATTCATTGAATTTAATTTATCATAAAAATGTAAAAGATTCATTGAGTTTACTTTATCTAAAAAAAAAAAAAAATTTACTTTATCTATATGCAACTTACTTTGTTCAGATGAACGTGTAAATGCACTTCCTCTTCACTTAATTTATGTTGTTAACTTCTTGTTAGTATATATATGATGAAGCACGTTCGAAACACACCTAGTGGCGGAGGAAGCATGCTGGGAGGAGGGGCAATTGACCCAGGTAAAATTTAAATTTTTTTATAAATATTTGTTTTTTTATGTAAAAAATAGATATAATATTAATAATTTAACTAAATGACCCCATAAAATTTGTTCAAAATACATTATAAATTAAAATTGACCCCATAAATTTTTTTTCTAGCTCCGCCACTTAACACACCTTTAAAAAAAACATTCGAAACTCACCAAATCCAAAACAATACGAGGATATATCAAACCTTAACACATAATTGTTGAGGGGGTCTGGTACGACTCAACGACACGTCATCCAATCAAATATAGACAGCCTTTACATATCACAAAGCCAAACGATTCATAATCTTCATGTGTTTATACGAAGGACCAGTGGTTTTGGTCCAAGGATTACTATGTCTCTTTCTTTTTTTTTTAATTACATGAAACATGGCAGGTCGTCTCTTTTAATCGTAAGGTTATTACATGTTGGTTTGTCCTCGAGATTCGTCCTAAACTGAAGTATGGCGGCTAATAATTTGCTCTGCTGGTTAATCACCAGGTTTGCGGTTTCGTACCGGTGAAATAGAGTATTTCGCAGTGTAGTTGTAGATCTATGTACCGGTAGATATAACTTTCTCATTAACGTATGATTTGAATGATGTGATTTATGTGTACCGTAAAGTGACAAACAAATTATCAATCGGGTGTATATTTATTATATTAAGAGATTTCAAGAAGATAACCATATATATATATATATATATGTAGTTATATACAGACATGTATATATATATATATATCCTTTTTTATATTGAATAATGGCTGTTGAAAAAAAAAGATTAAGAATTACATGTATCTAGTGAGCCTAGTTATTTTGAGCAATGTTGATTATTAAGCAAAAAAAACGTGAGATAACATGTTTAGTTTATGACCCATAAGCTGCGAAGCAAATCGATTAATATCCAAACACTGACACAATTTTTGGGAATGAAAAATAAAATATAGATGTAGCAAATTTTGAGTAAAACCAGGGATGTAACAGAGCACGTGTTGATTTAAAGATAACAACGAATGAGGGCCGCTCCTTATATACTATTAAAAGATGCGTTTTTCTTTTGGGAAAAGATTTAGCTATGAAAATAACCATAAGTGGCTAAACACAACACAGACACATTATGTCTTACTGAAACCCTAATACTCTATATAATGTATAGTTCACAGTCTCTTTTTCAGGCAAAGCCTAAAGTCTTTGCATGCCCTTGATTTGGTAGTGAATCCGTTTGCCGATACTGTATACAATTTTTTCATTCCTTCTTTTTCAGTTTTTATTTTTGTTTATTTTCAAGGAACATATTAGGTTTTTTTCTTTTTTGAGATATTAGATTCTAAAGTCTTGGAAGCAATAATTGCATGAGATTTTGTTATGATACATATATGGGTAAACCTTATCCTTTCACAGCACTTTTTTTTTTTCCTTTTCCTTTCACAGCACTTAAACTATACTACTACTATTTATGGTAATTAATTTCTGAAAAAATAAAGATCTCATATAAAAATTTATTAAGTGACTCTTTTTATAAAAGTATTGTAGATAAACTAGGCTGAAAATCGGTTTAAAAATCTAAGAATTTGTTATTTTGGATTAAAAAAAAGCTGAGCACAAACTTAAATGTTTCTTTATAAATTAAATAAGCATATATTTGATTGAATCTGTGTTCGAATTCACAATCAAACAAAAAGTTGAAGTAAAATTAGACTTCATTACCCTTAATCTTTAGATGATTATACTATTTAGTCATTTGTTCATGAACAAGAATCCAAAATATATAGAAACTAATCTAACAAGACAACCCCCCAAAAAAAGTTAGTAACAGTTTGCTAGATTTGTTGATATGATAGCGAATATACATGTAGAGAAGTAGTTGCTAGGGGTTGAGGATAAGTGAAACAGTAATTAGCCGCTAACCATTCAAA